CAGAGCAGCGATTTCGATCAAATGGGCCGCTCCGCGGCGCTGTTCGCGCTTCGCGCAGATATCCGGCTGCAGATCGTCTAGAGTTTATTTTGCCATAAGGTAGTGTGATTATGCATGCCACGAAGTATTTGCTAGTCTAGTACTGGAGAAATTAGCGTTTGGATGCGCATTGTGAGGCTTTAACCTGTAGAATAGCTAAGAGAAGTAAACGTGTAATCGCCTAACGAGATAACGTAAACGTGGCACGAGCAATATATATTATATATATATATCTATACACTATATTCGAGATACGTGCAGTGAGCGTTATTGATGTTGTTTGTATATGATGAATAAAATCTCAGTTGTATAAAGACTATCTAGAGACTTGCGTTCATTTCACTCTGGGTTTTCCTGCTACTGCATCACCGTCCTATACCTTCGCGGTAGGAGCGAAAAATGATCCCGACACAAATAAATTCCACTTGCTAACCACAGCGCGTGGGAAAATCCAGTGTGGTCACCCCTAGGGCCACTACACAAGCATCCTTCTTTTTCTACCGCCCCTCAAGTATCTTCTCTGCCGCCTTTCCTCAGTCAGCCACCCCTCTCTCCATCGGCAAGCTATATTATGCAGTGTTTTTCAGCCCGTACTGCACGTTTTCATCTTCCGAGAAGATCAATATTTTGCAAAAATTATGCATTTAAACTGAAAAGGAGTTATCCTAGCATTGATTTATATGATAAAATTCTATCAGTAGACATCAATTAAGAAATGGGAAGAAGACCTTGGCTGTAAGGTCCCCGCTGCATATGCCAGTGAGTACACAATCTGGCTACGTTAGTGTGTTAGCGCATGCGCAATATATCACCAGAGGCGTTATATTTTGTGATGAATATATGCATTTAATATGGTTATGGGGTATACCAGCATAGATTTATGTAATTTTTTTTTCCAGTGGACATGTGTTTATAATTAGGAGAGCGCCCTGTCGGGTGCCAAACTACGATTTCATCCCCTTCCATCTTTTCCCTAGCCTCCCTTGTCTCTCGCCCAGCATTCTTGTTTTTCTACCGCCCCCAGCTATCTTTCCTGCCGCCTTTACTCAGTCTCCCACCTCTCTTTCCCTCGGCAAGCTATATATATGCAGTGTTTTTCTGTACGTACTGCACGCCTGAAACGGTTCTCGTGCATGCGAAATATCTCCCGAGAAGAACAATATTATGCAAAAATTATGTATCCATGAAAAGTACAATTTCAAATTATGTATTATGAAAAGGAGGTATCCTAGCATAGATTAATATGATCAAAATTCTATCATATTATAGTACCAGTATATCAAGAGCAGATAAACAAGTAGATACAATAATGTAACCCAAACCCAAGAGGATAGGACCCCCTATCCTCTTGGGTTTGGGTTACATTATTGTATCTAATAAAGAAGGTAAGATAAGACCTTCTTTATCTGATCTTGAGTATATCATTAGATAATATATCATTAGATGAGCTATATTTTGTAATAAATATACATTTAATATGGTTAGGGGGTATCTCAGCATAGATTTATGTAATGCATTTTTGTTAAATTAATTAGTTTGATTTCAACTAAAAGGTGGGCCGTTTCCCCGGGCGTTTCGCAGCATCTCGAGTCATTTCGGTGTTTAGGAGGTCCCGTCCCCAGGTGGCGGTACAGCTTTCCGGCGCGGGAAACACATGTGAACTCTGATAACACTGATAACTACTTCTTGATAAGTTGTGCACCAGTTGTAAATATAACCAGTTGTATTATAATAATAGCAATATTAGTTTGTTAGTGACATTACTGACATGACTGCTGTCCTTACAGTTGAATACCTTCAGAAGAAGCTATGGGTTAATACTAATAATAGCTTCAGTGACATTAAGGTTTTAAGGTAACACCCGTTTGGCTTAATTAGTATTAGTATTACTATTAGTATTACTAATACTATACTATAGTCTATATTACTATTACTATTAGTAATTTGTAAGACCAGAAGCACTGACTCATGTAGCTCTCTATAGCCTTCCGATCTGCCGCAGGAGCGGCGGAGGAGCGGAGGGCTATAGTTCTAGAGCAGTGGTTCCCAACCTTTTGTAGGCCTACTCCCCGTACCCCTAATTTTTTACGCTATCTCCTGGCAGTACTACTACTAGTAGTACGTACCCCTTCGCCTAGACCGAATAATTCTGTCCCATATAACCTTTTTTATATTTTGGTGAGGGTTATTGGGTCCCCCCCCCCAATAATTAACCCTCACCAAAATATAAAAAAGGTTATATATGGGACAGAAGTATTCGGTCTAGGGGGGGTTGGGTGTAATTCCGTATCCCAAACTTGCGAGCACGCGAAGGCCGAAGGGGGTGTCTGAGGAAATTTTTTGAAATTAGACCCCCTTAGATGCGTTTTCTGCGCGA